CTTCTTCCTTGCTTTTCGTTCTTCCTTGATCTTTACATTCCATGGTGTCTTCGCAATTCATTCGCAGATTGTTGATGAGGTTATGGATCGTTCGCAGATTGTTGATGAGGTTATGGAAGCAGGTGAAGAAATTAGAGGAATTATGAAGAAATTAGGGATTCTTCATACATAAACACGGTTCAAATTCTTTTACAGGGTTTTCACAATAAAAATATAAATTTTATGCCATGTCATTAAATTGGCAACTATTTAAATGACTTGGCATCTGGCTGAGCATGTCCAATCACCATTTTGAGCGCCACAAAATCAAAACAGGAGGGGGACTAAAAAAAATCTCAAAAAGTGACAACTTGAGGGACTAAAATGCTGAAAAAATTAAAAGGGAGACTAAAACGTTAAAAATTTGTAAATAAGGGGACTAAAAGTGCATTTAAGCCTTATTTTTATCGAACAAATTCATGATGCAATTCATCTTCTATTTTGTTATTAATGAAATATTTTGATTCATTACATTCAAATATTTTTTTTACTTCTTTTAAATTATTATTCTAATTATTTATTACTTGAGTTTTTATTATTAATGCATTATTTTTATAAATATTATAATTTATTATTGAATATATTTTTTTATTAGTAGACATACCATGGATTTTGAGAGAGAGAAAAAAGAAGAAAATATGCATTTTTGAAATATAAGATCAAATTACAATATTATTATTTTGGATATTTAAATTTCATTACAAAATTTATATATAAGTGTTTAATATATTTTTGGTTTAATTTTAATTTTATATTTTAATTTAAAATATTATGCATTTGATTGTTAATATGTTTATTTTATTGAATAAAAAATAATTTAATAAATAGGATCACTAATTATTTTAATTAAGAATGTCCTTTTATGTCATTTCATATTTATCAACTAGTGTAACCGTTAATTTATCAACCACTCAAATTAGTTTATCAACTATAAGTCATCGACTATAAACTATCAGTCATCAGCCATAAACTATCAGCTATTAGTCATCTGCTACCAGCTAACAATTAGCTTATCAACTATGTCAGCTAGTTTTAGCAAACAGAGCCAATGTATTTTGTTTTAGAGGGGAGGAAGGGACTATCGCGTCGTGAAAAATATCCAAGCATATGAAACGCTTGAAATAAATAAGATTCGTCATCGAAGTTTTATTTGTTTAAAAAGGAGATGTCAATAAAACTCTTAATGAACAAAAACATGGTCATCGCAACCAAATTCAGATTCAGGAGTCGACTACGTGCGAGGAAGATATTAACACTCCACACATCAGTTGTATCCAACGGAAACCGTTTAGTTAGTTTTACGAATGCAAGTGTTAGCTTATGTTAAATTATAATTATGCCCTTACACCCCCACACCTCTGTTCTTCCACTGATAAGTTATAATTATGCCTTTACGCCGAACCAAAAACACCTCACATATATAAAGATTTCCCTCTCAAAATCAATAAGGCAAGTGTAAGAAAATGAGAGACACAGAGAGAGAGAGAGAGAGAGAGAGAGAGAGAGAGAGAGAGAGAGAGAGAGAGAGAGAGAGAGAGAGAGAGAGAGAGAGAGAGAGAGAGAGAGAGAGAGAGAGAGAGAGAGAGAGAGAGAGAGAGAGAGAGAGAGAGAGAGACGAAGTTAACTCAAATATATTTTTTGGTGTAAGAGAAATGATCGAGGAACCCTCTATAAGACAACAATTGGATACAAAAGGAAAAGCTACATGGATATTTTTTAATGCTAATTTTCGATTTTGGACATCCAATAATCGACTCTCATGTCGCAAAATGGAAGATTATTTAAAGAGTTATTGCAGAATCGACTATCAACCATAATAATTGACTAATAATTGATTATTGAGACGTTGCAAAAGGAATAACCAGTTAAGCTCGGAGGCTAATCATTTATCCAATGCAAAAATTCTTCATAAACAACTTTTCAAGGTTTTAGCCAATTAGTTAGGCATAAAAAACACTTTATTTTATTTTATTTTAAATTTTCATAAAATAAGAGAAGGTTTTCAAATGGTTGAAGGTGTGTGTGTGTGCGCGCACGCGTGCGTATGTGATTTTCCTTAGTAACATCAAAAGTTTGTCTTATACCTTTACAAATGTTGATCACTCGATCCAGACTTGCGCCAACTTTCACACTTCATCTCTTTCACATCTCTAAAGCTTCTGATTCTTGGACACATTATCTTTGACTTTAACACTTCAATGGAATCTTGAATCTTTTTCTGATGAGCATTGAGATAACTATTTTATATGAACACCATCATCAGACATGCAACTTGATCAAAGATCTTTACCTAGTTCATCGGATGCCGCTTGACATAAGGTGTTGTCTTCCAGAGATATGCATAGATAATCTTGATCTCCAAGCAACACAACTTGATAATCACTTGACCACAACAACAAAGTTTAGTCCACAAAAACTTGCTCTCACCAAACTGCTGCTCTGGCTACCCGCCACCACTGTTTCTCTCAGCATCGCCATTCTTATAAGTTATGATTGTCTTATTCGTGTTCAAGTTCTCATATATATATATATATATATATATATATATATATATATATATATATATATATATATATATATATATATATATATATATATATATATATATATATATATATATATATATATATATATATATATATATATATATATATATATATATATATACACACACACACACACACACACACACACACACACACACACACACACACACACACACACACACACACACACACACACACACACACACACACACACACCTTTTATGTTTTTTTTTCTTCGACGAAATTTCTTCTAATCTTATTAAAATATAGTTTTCATGTATGTTTGAGGTGTGAAACATATTAATTAACGTGTATCAAAACCTTTTGTTATTATTGTTGTGTTTTATTTGTTAAACTTTCAAATCTCTTCTCAATTTTTTCATGTCAAATTGTCAAGTGTCAACTTTTGTATTCGATAATAAATTTATTTCATGATTAAGTGAGAAACATGTCAATGTATTGTATGAATTAAGAATAAATTGTAAGTTGTTTGAAAAACATAAAATAAAATTTATGAAATGTATTATTTTAAAAAATAATAGCATAAAATACTTTGAAAACCATGATAGCAAAAAAAAGTATAGATTAATATAATATTTGAAAAAAATATTATAAATTAATCAACCGAATCGATCAAATCGAGTCAAACCAATTAGTTTGATTTTGTTTTATTTTAAAAAAAATACAAAAAATCAAACTATATCAAATCGATGTGCTTCAAACGATTTTTTCATCATAAATTAGTTCAAACCGATCCGATTATACGCTAAACATAACAAAAAAACATCCTATTTATTTTATTCAATTTAATTTAACATGAGAAAATATATATTATATATTTATTTGATAAAAGATTATTTATAGATTAAGCTCAAATCGTCGGTATTTGGCAAGGTTATCGAACTAGTACATAATAAAAAAGACAATCAGAGATTTGGCTTCAATTAACAACAATATGAAAAACAAAACAACATGAATATAGTACCTTTTTGTTCCTTATACCTTTATTCAAACTTATACAAACTATCCTAGGAAAAAATAGTATACAATTGTCGAGTTTTTCTCCTCTGTTTTATTTGAGCCTTTCAAAAGTTATTTTTATTTAGTTTATATATAAGGTCTTCCACAAAATAACGTGGTTATCCAGTGACATTATTATGCATAGTATATTTGGTAAATGTCAAACATTTGTGTCCTTATCTAGTTGAGTAAAGTATGAATAAATATGTATATCATTTTAAAAGAGAAAAACGCGGGTGGGGGCGTTCTACATCATTGATAACACCGAATAAAGAGAAGAAGAAAAAAAGATGGTTATGGTTCTCTATTCCTCTATTTTTATTTTTATTTTTATGTATAGATATTTAACTAAAAGAATATAATCTATTTTAATTTTTATGTTTAAGTATTTAATTAAAAAAAATTGAATCACTATCATTTATTTCACCATATCAAACTGTAAATTTTAAATTAATCATATAACATAATAAATTGATAAATTTTTATTAAATTATAATATAAAAATATTTTACACTATCCTTTTATATCAATTAAATTATTTAACTAATATAATTTATTTAAAAATAAAATATATTTATATTATTTATTTAGTCTAAAACTAATACTCTCTCCTATTTTTTTTTATAAAAAACACTTTATTTTTTAAAATTTATTAAATAATTAATATATTTGTTCTATATTATATTAAATAAATTAATTATTTGATAAATTAAAAAAATAAAATATTTTTTATATAAATAATAAAAAAAAAGAAATTTTTAACGAATCATAATCGTCCACCATAAATATACGATGATACCTACTATTTAATAAGCATAAATATATGAAAATTTCATAAATTTCCAAAGTGGTTGCGTGCATGCACTTGGTCACAAGTTTTAAATTGTAAATTATTTATAATGTACATATAACACAATTCAATCCAGATTACTACATCAAAAAAAATTCAAACCAGGGTATATTTTTTTAATCTTTTTTTCTTGACGGGGTATTTTTTTAATTTTAAAATCTTAATTTTAGTGTCGTTATTGTATTTTCTTTTAATCTTAATTAATCGCTGGGCTCTTCACGAAAACTGAAATTCCGGCCAAGCGCATTCCCAACTAAGATAAATAAATAGTAATAAAAATAAAATATAAACCAGATTAGTACTTAAGTTTATTAAATCGCTTTTAATAGTGATTAAGGTCGCGTTAACCCCACGTAAACAAGGACCCACCACCGAACAACACACAACCCGCGTAAAGTTAAATCAAAGTCAAAACCGAATCTCACCATTGGATGGGATCTTAACCATTTTTAAAACCGTTTGGCGCTACTATACGCTACCCATTACAAATACAATCACGATTTAAAACAATTTCACAGTTTGGTGGCGGCAAAAAAAAACCATCAATGGCGAAACTATTATCCCTAGCTTGTTTTCGAAACGAAGGATGGCACAATCTCTCCGCTCGATCTCACTATCCCTCCATGCCTTCCTATCCCAAAGGCGAACCCGGTACCAGCGCTACCGCCGTCGCCGCCGTCACCGAGGCTTCCAATGTCACCGGACTTTTCTCCGTTCACGGTATGACTTGCTCCGCTTGTGCCGGATCCGTTGAGAAATCCATCAAACGTCTCCATGGAATTCAGGAAGCTGTTGTTGATGTCCTCAACAACCGTGCTCGCGTCATCTTTCATCCCTTGTTTGTTAACGTAACTAACTTTCTTCGTTCCGTTATTAAATTAGATTTAATTGTTTTCTTTTTGTTGCAAATGTATTCGAAATGGAAGTAAGTTATAATAATTAGTCACATTTATATCTAGTAATAAGTCTACTCGAGGCGAATTTGTCTTTTCCATTCGACTCAATAAGAATTGATCCAGGTTAGAATGATTAGGTTTAGTTGATTTTCTTAAATCACATACTTTAAAAGTTAATATCACAATTTTTAGATCTTTGATCTTTTATTTTATTTTTTTAAAAGACAAAAGATTCAATTACAATATAAGCTCAATAAGCCAAACACAATTTCAATTCCTTTAGTTAAATACCTTATTCCACTCAACCTTTAAGTCTACAAAAATGCAGGCTATAAGGTAATGTCCGCTTTAAAAGGGAGAATACTTATAACTTTGTCCTTTAAGAAAATACGTCTCGTTGGGTTGAGGTGTATGTATATAAACCACCCATAGTCTCGATTCTCATTTAATGTGAAACTATTTTGTAAACTCGGAACGGTTGCCTCCTAGTTGAGGATAAGGGGCGTGGTGCGAACTTCAAGTTCCCACAGATGATACCAATGTTTTGATTGACCTAATGTTGGCACCACTGTGGCTACAAGGATTTGTCGGCTTTGGATGTGAGAACCCTCACGGCTTTATCCTTTAGAACATGCGCCTCATTGGGTTGAGGTGGAGTTTGAATGTTGTATATAAACTATTTTTAGTCTCGATTCTCAAACAAAACACAATTTTTAATTTAAGTTTGGATCATTTGATTCATGAAGTGAAACAAGTTAATTATTGAATCAAGATTCGAACTATGTTCAAGTTAATTTGGTTCATTGACCGCTCTACTTAAAACTAATTAGTTTGATGTGGTTTTCATTTCATTTTTATTTCTATAGGAGGAGGCTATTTGTGAGGCAATTGAAGATGCTGGATTTGAAGCGGCGTTACTGGCGGATGTGACGAATGATATTTCAACTCAAATATGCCATATACAAATCAAAGGAATGACATGCACGTCGTGCTCTACTGCCGTTGAATCAATACTGGTCGCCCTTCCCGGAGTCGTTGAAGCTCGAGTAGCTTTAGCAACTGAAGAAGCCAACGTTCGTTACAACCCAAACATAATTACCTATAGCCAAATCTTGAAAGCAGTTGATGATGCTGGATTTGAAGCCATTCTTATCAGTTCAAGTGAAGATTTAAGCAAAATAGATCTTCAAGTAGAAGGTGATCTCTCCGATCATTCAATGATCAAGCTTATCGAAGATTCTCTTCGATCACTCCCAGGGGTTTTAGAATTACGCCCGAGTCTTGAATTGAATAAAATATCAGTTTCTTATAAACCAGATCTAACAGGACCACGAGACTTCATCAAAGTGATTCAAGAAACTAGTAATGGAAGTTTGGAGGCGAAGATATTTCCTGGCGAAGGAGGAAGAAGAGATGCTCATAGAAAACAGGAAATAAAAAGTTATTATAAATCCTTTTTATGGAGTTTGGTGTTTACTGTTCCAGTTTTTCTTACTTCCATGGTGTTTATGTATATACCTGGAATAAAGGATTTGTTGGATAACAAAGTTGTGAAAATGCTAACTATTGGAGAGGTTATTCGTTGGGTGCTTGCAACACCGGTGCAGTTCGTATTCGGGTGGAGATTTTACGTTGGTTCTTATAAATCATTGCGCCGTGGCTCTGCTAATATGGATGTTCTTATTGCTCTTGGAACAAATGCTGCTTATTTCTATTCTGTTTACTCTGTTTTGAGAGCTGCTACTTCTAAGGTTTTTGAAGGCACTGATTTTTTTGAGACTAGCGCAATGCTTATTTCGTTTATTCTCTTAGGGAAGTATCTTGAGATTTTAGCTAAAGGGAAAACATCAAATGCAATTGCTAAGCTCATGAATTTGACACCTGATACTGCTATATTGTTAAGTTTGGATGGTGATGGCAATGTTGTTGGGGAGGAAGAGATTGATAGTAGGTTGGTTCAGAAGAATGACGTGATTAAAATTATTCCGGGTGCAAAAGTAGCATCGGATGGTTTGGTTGTTTGGGGACAGAGTCATGTGAATGAGAGTATGATAACTGGCGAGGCACGTCCTGTGTCTAAGAGGAAAGGTGATACTGTTATTGGTGGAACATTGAATGAGAATGGAGTTTTGCATGTTAAGGCAACAAAAGTTGGATCAGAAAGTGCTCTTTCACAGATTGTTCGACTTGTTGAGTCTGCACAAATGGCCAAAGCTCCTGTGCAGAAGTTTGCTGATCGCATTTCTACATACTTTGTGCCTCTGGTAATTACTCCCTCCATTCAATTTTAATTATCATTTTCTTGTAGGTAGAAAAATTTTGTTCCTATTTATCTGTCTTTTCAAAGTTATATATAATATTAACTATTGTTTTGTCAATAATAGTTTTGACTGGTTACTGCTTTAGAGATAAATAAGTTGAGTGAAATAATTCCATCAAAATAAAATTTATCAATTATCTTGGTACATGTAAGTAACCTTAAAACGAAAGCTAAAAAGTTACATAGAGAACATATTATACCATTTTATTTGGTATGGTATGAACTCATTAAACTTTTTTTCTTTCAATTTTATTGATTTTACCTATTTCTATCCGATGTTTAAAGTATATGTCTTCTACCTCTTTGTAGGTGATTTTGATCTCATTTTCAACCTGGCTTGCCTGGTTTTTAGCTGGAAAATATCACGCTTACCCGAAATCCTGGATACCGTCTTCCATGGACAGCTTTGAGCTTGCTCTGCAGTTTGGAATATCTGTGATGGTTATTGCCTGCCCTTGTGCTTTGGGTTTAGCTACACCTACTGCTGTTATGGTTGGTACTGGAGTTGGCGCATCTCAGGGTGTTTTAATCAAAGGGGGGCAAGCTCTGGAAAGTGCACATAAGGTCAGCATTTGTCTTTAGAAATAGATTTTCTCCTTAAATTATTGAATTTCTTTGTCAATGTTTTTTGTGTGACCAATTTGTCAATGTTGGTTGGCTTTAAAATTGAACAATGATTGCTAATGTTGCTAATTAGTGCATCTGTCAAATACGTTTATAGTTTATACAATATTTGCTGTGCTCCACGAAAGGAGATGGTGTCATTGGATATCGACATGTTCATTCTATCTTTCACAACTTCGTATAATATTAAAATGAAGAAAGTGTTCCAACAGTGGATTTGGATTTACATTTGAATATGTTTATGGTTGTGTTGTTGTAGGTAAACTGCATTGTTTTTGACAAGACAGGTACTCTCACTATTGGGAAGCCAGTGATAGTAAATACAAAACTATTGATAAAAATGGTACTCCGGGAGTTCTACGAACTTGTTGCTGCAGCTGAGGTAAACACATGCCATCCATCTCCTTCTAAAAGGCTTAGCCCCAGTAATAGTTAGAAAAAACAGTTGACTTGCAGTTAAGAATTTGTTTTAGTTCTTATGATTACTACAATTTAATGGGTTAATTACTCAAATTATTTTGCAATTCATGAATTATAGGTGCATATGCATGTTATAAATGATTCCAATTGATCGTTAGTTCTGTAATTTTTCTATCTCAGGTTAACAGTGAGCATCCTCTAGCTAAGGCTGTTGTTGAGTATGCCAAAAAATTTAAAGATGAGGAGAACCCTTCTTGGCCAGAAGCACGTGATTTTGTTTCCATTACTGGACATGGAGTAAAGGCCACCGTTCGTAACAAGGAAATAATGGTGGGTAATAAGAGCTTGTTTACTGACCACAATATTGCAATTCCCGCCATTGCTGAAGATCTACTTGCTGAAGCTGAAAATTTGGCTCAAACAGGAATTGTAGTATCTATAAATGGGGAAGTAGCTGGGGTTTTAGCAGTATCTGATCCATTGAAATCAGGTGCTCAAGAAGTTATTTCCATTCTCAAGTCTATGAACATTAAGAGCATCATGGTGTCTGGAGACAACTGGGGAACTGCTAATTCTATTGCCCGGGAGGTTGGGATTGAAGATGTTATTGCTGAGGCGAAACCTGATCAGAAAGCAGATAAAGTGAAAAACTTGCAGGTGCTGTAAAATATTGTGATACTTATATTGATTCTTAACAGTTTTAGACAATACATATTTATAAAAGTCTGAGGGATAAATCACTTATTGTTTCCGTTTATTTTTCAGGCTTCTGGGTACACAGTGGCTATGGTAGGGGATGGCATCAATGATTCACCTGCACTTGTAGCAGCAGATGTTGGAATGGCAATAGGCGCTGGCACAGACATTGCTATTGAGGCAGCTGATATTGTCCTAATGAAGAGCAACTTAGAGGATGTCATAACCGCGATTGACCTTTCCCGAAAAACATTTTCCCGTATACGCCTTAATTATATTTGGGCTTTGGGCTATAATGTGCTTGGCATTCCAATAGCAGCTGGAGTTCTTTTCCCTTCTACAGGCTTTCGATTGCCACCTTGGATTGCTGGAGCTGCTATGGCTGCTTCTTCTGTTAGTGTTGTTTGCTGTTCTCTGTTGTTGAAATATTACAAGAGACCCAAGAAGCTGAACAGCCTTGACATAGGAGCCATAACAATCGAGACATCAAGTGATCCTTTGATCATACATGACGACTGAAGAGAGTTTTGAATTAGCTATTCTCCTACATGCAGCTAGGTGTTGAGGGCTAGCAGCATCATAGGAGTGTGAATCTCTCATATATGAGAGGCTTCCATTTCATAGAAGAAAAATAAAGACAGAAAGAAATGGAAAGGATCCCTCATTATAGTTGATGTTTTGTAAGTAGATGGATGTGTGTGATATAGATTTATGTAATAATATGTGTATAGAAGTGGAAATGTTTCTTTAGTCTCCGCAATAGGTTTTTAGCCTTGAAAACTCAAATAACCCATGTATAAAGAGTGCTTTGAGAATTTATTAAGTGCCTATTTGTTACCGATAATAGTAGTGGAAAACTTAAGAAGTTATGGTGTATATCTCCTGCATGTATTTTTGACGATCCACTAATCAAACCTCACTTTCCTCTCGTTTTTGCCGTTTCTCTGCCAGTTGGGACTTAACCGCAACAAGTTTGGCTCTTATTTCATTGCATTCTTTCTTAGCTTTCACTGTGTCCGTCCTTTGGGCATCTAATTCAGCCTGCAACCTTTTAACTCTGATATAATACCATAAGAGAGAGAAAAGAAGTAAGATGAAAATCTCATATATTGATTGTGATTGAAAGAGTACAAAGGCATGGTATATAAAGCCTTAGATCTAACTAACTGTAACAAACTGAACTAACTGTAACAAACTGTACAGCTGGCATATAGCTGTAACAGTTGCATAACTACTACTCTCTATTAGTCCCCCTTAGAAGCTGAGGGTGTGTTTAATAAACTAAGTTTATTGAACACTCGCAGTTTATCTCGCAGAGGTAAAAACTTGATGGCTGAGAGAGGTTTGGTCAACAAATCTGCCCACTGATCTTGGGCAGAAACATGCTCCACAATTAGACTCTTAGAGATCACTTTCTCCCGTACAAAAAATATATCCAGTTCCATATGTTTTGTCCTGTTGTGCAAGACAGGATTGTGTGCAAGTGTCACGGTGCTGAGGTTATCACACAGTAGTTTAGGAGTAAGAAGTCGGCAGTGAAGTTCCTGCAGTAAAGACTGAACCCAGATTATTTCAGATGCTAACTGTGCCATACTCCTGTACTCAGCTTCAGCACTGGACCTTGCCACTAGCTGTTGTTTCTTGGACCACCAGGAGATGAGATTAGGACTTAGAAACAAGCAAGCTCCTGATGTTGACCTTCTGTCATCAGGGTCTGATGCCCAGTCAGCATCACAGAAACCAAGTAATGACAGAGGTTTGTGAGGTGCTGCAGGCTGAATCAGTAAACCATAGTGCAGAGTCCCACTGAGGTATCTTAGTATTCTTTTAACTGCTTTCCAATGCTCTTCCAAAGGATTTGACAGAAATTGGCACACCTTATTGACAGAAAAGGAGATCTCTGGCCTAGTGAGGGTAGCATACTGAAGGGCACCCACCACAGACCTGAACTGGGTGGGATCAGAGACAGGTTCAGAACCAAACCTAGAGAGTTTGCTGGTAGAGACCATAGGTGTGGGCATGCCATTGGCATTGATCATATTGACTTTGGCTAGTAAATCTGTCAAGTATTTGGCTTGGGATAGAAGCAAGGAGCCATTGGACAGATGAGTGACTTCTATGCCAAGAAAATAATCCAAGTTGCCAAGCTGTTTAAGTGAAAAATCAGAATTTAGCTGGGTGATTAAACCACTGATGAAGGCAGAAGAATTACCAGTGATAATTATATCATCAACATACACCAACACCATAATACTTAGGCTGCCAGTATGGAGAATAAAGAGTCTAGGATCACACTTGCTAGCATGAAAACCATGACTTAGGAGAGAGCCCTTGAGTTTATCAAACCAGGCTCTAGGAGCCTGCTTCAGGCCATAAATGGCTTTGTTTAATTTGCACACCAAAGACTTGTCTGCAGCTTCAAAGCCAGGAGGCTGCTGCATGTAAACTTCCTCTACAAGTGTGCCATTTAAAAAGGCATTGTTCACATCAATTTGCTGTATAGACCACCCGTGAGTCACAGCAAGAGTGAGTACAGTCCTGACAGTTACAGGCTTGACCACAGGAGAAAATGTCTCTGTAAAATCACTGCCAGCCTGCTGATGAAACCCTTTGGCCACTAATCTGGCCTTGTATTTGTTGATGGTTCCATCAGGGTTCTCCTTGACCCTAAATACCCACTTGCAGCCAATTGGCTTCCTAGAATCAGGTGGAGACACCAAGTTTCAGGTCTGATTGTTTAACAATGCAGTGTACTCATCTTTCATGGCCTGAAGCCAATGAGGAGAGGCCAAGGCTTGTCCAACAGAATTAGGTTCCATATGAGTAATTAAGAGGGTAGGTTTAATTTTAGGTTTAGTAATACCATTTTTAGACCTTGTTTGCATAGAGTGAATATTGTGAGCATGACTGGAAGGATTAGGCAGAAGAGGTACAGTATTGATGGAGGACTCAGAGGCAGGAGAAGAAGGGGAAATAGTGGGAGCCTCTGCAATATCAGACTGCAGAGGAGTGACAGACAAAGAATTGACAGGTGTAGTAGGAATGGGAGAAGAAGTAGCCGATTCTGCAGTTACTGAAGGTGAACCAGAGATAGGAGAAATAGCAGAGTTGGCAGGAGTGGGACTGAAATTTCTAAGTTCAGCAGAAGGTGTATGAGAGGGTGGAGTGGGAACAGAAGGAACATGAGTGATAGGCACAGCAGAAACAGCCCTAGTGAGAGAGTTAGAATCATTAGGAACAAGAGGGAAGGACCAAAAAGAAGGAGTAGAGGGGAGTGAAGAAGATTGATCAATGGCAGGAGATGGAAAGAGAGTAGGATAGGGAAATTTTGACTCATTGAAAATGACATCTCTAGAGACATAAATTTTTCCGGTGGCAGATAGGCACTTGTAGCCCTTGTGAATGGTAGAATAACCAAGAAAAACACACTCTTGGGACCTAAAGTCCAATTTGTGAGAGTTATAAGGACGAAGAAAGGGAAAACAGGCACAACCAAAAACTCTTAAGTGAGCATAATCAGGAAACTTGTGAAACAGTTTGAAATAGGGAGTTTTATGCTCAAGAGACGCACTAGGAAGTCTGTTTATGAGATAAGTGGTTGTGATAAAGGCATGATCCCACATTTGAAGGGGCAAGGTAGAGTGAGCAAGCAAGGCTAAGCCTGTTTCAACTATGTGTCTATGCTTGCGCTCAACAATACCATTCTGATGGTGGGTATGGGGACACGTGAAACGATGCACAATGCCAAGATCATTGAGATATTTGGTGAGAGGTCTAAACTCACCACCTCCATCAGTTTGAACAACTTTGATTTTATGGTTGAACTGAAGTTCCACCATAGTTTTGAACTGAACAAACTGAGAGAAGGTATCAGACTTTAGCCTAAGAGGAAAGATCCAAGTGAACCTAGAAAAGGCATCTACACAAGTGAGAAAGTAGGTATAGGCACCTGAAGATTTAACAGGTGCAGGACCCCATAAATCACAAACCACTAATTCAAAAGGATGATTATAAACAGTAGTGGAGAGAGAAGTAGGAAGTCTGTGAGATTTGCCTAAGGAACAAGCAGAACAAAACTCTGCTGCAGACTTAGAAGAGAGAGAAATGCAGCAGGTTTTGAGCACTTCAGCAAGAACTTGATGATGGGGATGACCCAACCTGGTATGCCACAGAGCATACTTACTGAGAGTAGGAACAGACTTAGCAGTAGAGTAAATAATAGGCAAATTAACAGCAGAAACATCATGTTTATTCACAGAAAATGAAGGATTACAATCAGTAATAGTATGACTAATATCATTGGAATGAGATACAGTATTACATGAAGCCCTAGGATTACAATTATTGAAATCTAAATTTGAGCTAGAATGGAGACTAGACAGAGGCTTTGACACTTGAGAAGAAGGAATCTGAAACTTGTAAAGACCATCATCTCCAACAATACCATGAAGAAGCACCTCAGAAGAACCCTGAGATTTGACAAGACAAAAAGAAGGATGAAATTCAAAGAAAACTTTATTATCTTGTGCAAATTTACTTACACTGATGAGGTTTTTGGTGATGTGAGGAACAAGAAGTAAATTGTGAAGCATGAGAGGTGTGTGAGACAGATGAGAGGAGGGAAATTTCATGGAACCTATAGAGTTAATGGACAAACCTTGGCCGTTTCCCATGAAGACTTGTTCAGAACCAGTCACAGATTGAGCATCAGGCACGTTGGAAGAATCAGGTGTAACATGGTGTGAGGCACCTGAGTCAGGATACCACCATTGGTTGCTGAAGTTGGGATCAGAACTAGCCACAAATGCTTGAGGAGGAGAAGGTCGTGGTGCAGCTGATCTAGGTGAGGAATAACCAAAGACAGGAGCATACACAGGACGAGCATTCGCCAGAAATGGATTGAAGGGAGCTTGTTGCGGTGGAAACGGCTTTGAAGAGGACTGAGTGTACCTGTAGTAGCAAACAGAGGCATCATGTCCACTTTTGCGACAGATTTGACACTGAGTTTTGCCAAAACGACCGCCGTGACGACCAAAACGACCGCCACCACCCCCTGAACGACCTCCTCTGTTGTAACCACTGCTTTCTGCGTGAGCATTAACATGACTAGTACCAGTTGGAAAGGAGTCAGAAGCTTGCGAAACAGAGTCAGCCGGAGAAGAAGATTCAGACGGCGGAACCTGCGTTAGATTGACAGAAGCAGGTTCAGTGAGAATCGCTTTTCTGTGTTTCTCCAATCGAGATTCATGAGCAAGAAGACTGGATTCAAGATCCTCCAACGTACTGAGATCTTCCTTACTATTGACAGCAGCAACAATCGAATCATACTCCTCTGGAAGCGCATCCAGCACAATCTCAATTAGGTTACGCATCGGAACAGGATCTCCAACTGAAATCAACGATTCATTGATTTCGCGAACTCGCGCCATGAACGCTTCAATATTGAGATTACCTTTGGAAAGACGGCGAAGTTCAGATCGTAGCTGACGAGCCTTCGTCGTGAGCTACACGGCGAAGTA